TGATGTCGGTCATAACCAACTGGTGGGCAAACTTCCTAGATCTTTGATCCGTCTCTCTGCTCTTGAAGTTCTGAATGTGGAAAACAACAGAATCAACGACACGTTTCCGTTCTGGTTGTCTTCTCTTAAAAATCTGCAAGTTCTTGTCTTACGCTCCAATGCATTTCACGGACCGATACATCATGTCTCGTTCCATACACTGCGAATCATCGACTTATCGCATAATCAATTCAATGGAACTTTGCCATCAAACTATTTTGTGAACTGGAATGCTATGTCGTCACTTAAGGCAAACGAGGATCGGTCTCAAGAAAAATACATGGGAGACTCTTTTCGATATTACCATGATTCAGTGGTTTTGATGAATAAAGGCTTAGAGATGGAGCTGGTACGCATCCTAAAATTCTACACAGCTCTCGACTTTTCTGAAAACAAATTTGAAGGAGAGATTCCAAGATCCATCGGTCTATTGAAAGAGCTTCATGTTCTTAACTTCTCAAGCAATGCTTTCACCGGCCACATCCCATCATCTATGGGGAATCTAAGAGAGCTCGAGTCACTGGACGTTTCTCAAAACAAGCTTTCAGGAGAAATTCCACAAGAACTAGGGAACCTCTCGTTCCTTGCCTACATGAACTTCTCTCACAACCAGCTTGGAGGTCTAGTACCAGGGGGAACTCAGTTTCGTAGGCAAAACTGCTCTTCTTTCAAGGACAACCCTGGACTTTATGGCTCTTCACTTGAAGAAGTTTGTGTAGATATTCATGCACCAGCACCACAACAACATGAACCGCCAGAGCCAGAGGAAGAAGACAGAGAGGTGTTCAGTTGGATAGCAGCTGCAATAGGATTCGGACCTGGTATTGCCTTTGGATTGACGATTGGATACATATTGGTTTGCTACAAACCAGATTGGTTCATGCATACCTTTGGCCGAAACAAACAAATAAGTAAAAGCACCTGAACTCGTTAGAGAGGTAGTGTTCTGACTTTTAAACAAATTTGTTTGCAAAACATTGAAAGACAAAAATATTAGAATAAACTTTTGGCAATGAAACTTAAGCATTTAATTATTTCTGTTGTTGACAAAAAAATAAGTTTTTGTTTGTGTAGGCATTTAGAACCTACCTGAAGAATCTCGAAGAAGAAAATCAAAGCAACCAGAAGAACTCCAAGAAAGTCAACTTACAACCTCTGCACATGAAAAAAGTTTGAGGAGAAAGCAATCAAACAATGTCCAACTATGGACTGGTTTAGATTTCTGTTATTGTATAGTATTGTTTAGTTTGGTGTGTTCCTTATTTACTCTGTTTTTAGTCAACTTTTTGTTGTTTACAATTAGTTGAACAACTCTGTTCAGTCAACTTTTATGCTTTTATGTTATTGAGCAAGTACCTCAAATACATTGACACGAATTGGCAGAAGTATTGGAACTCAAAGATTTGTTTCTTTTCCTCTGCACCGTCATGTAATCATCACCTGTATACAAAACCAGAAAGATGACCAAATTATTCTCTCATATAATTATTCTATTGATTATTGCTCCAACAAATTACAAAAACAAACAAATATTGCAGAAGATAGTCTCTTTTTTTTTACCTAAATAAACTGATGACTTACTTAGCTCGTCAAAAGAAATTTTGCTGATGCTTTCCCCATATTTGGTCAGCTGAATCTTCCCTAGAAACGCATGATGAGCGTAATTCAACAACAAACAGATGATCTCAGATCAGCGATATAAGAGAATGAGAGTAAAAAGAAAAAAAAAAAGGGGACATATGGTATGCATACCATCACGACGAACACAAAATCATATGAATAGTCTTCACTTCACTGCTGGTCTGATCTTTATATCCCCCCTTCAACGGTAACCAATGAGCTGCAACGGATGGTTTAACGTATATGCTTACTTTTCTGCGAGTTTGCGCTCCTTGGGATCTTCTGCAATGGAGCTTAGCTCTACTTTACGACAAATTATCGCTTGCGTGAATCATAAAGAATATTAAGAGAGATATGAAGTGCGAGATTGCATCAAAACAACAGAAAGTAAATGAAAATTGTATTTTATGTCACTGCAGGGGATAGAGTCTATGGAATGTATAAATTGATGATCTGATTGCAACAGCATAACTCGAGGTCGGGGCATGATTAAGGATTGAAATAGACAAAACTCCTCTCATTCCCATTGGATTTTCACAGCAACGGACCAATAGAAACAAACAATTGAACACTTATAGGAAAATGAAGCTAATGATGAAATGTAACAGAACAGGTCCTCAAAAAATTTGCCCGAAACACCCTCAGTTAAAGAACAAATACGTGCAGAGTCAAACAAATTGCAACGAAATGAATACTCTAATCATCATGAAAATGATCTGAAGAACAATCTACTTGCAGAGTGTGAATTGCACATGAAGCAATAGTAAGTGATACCTAGAGGCGATGTCGCAGAAAATCTCATAAGCTTGGAATCCTACAGCGACACTGGTTTCATCTTAGAGGACGGAATAATAAGAGTTGAACATAAGAAGCAAAGGAAAAATTGCAGACTTCTTCTGAATCGGTGATACAGGGGAGAAGAAGGGTTTTGGAAGAAGAAGAAAGAACCGGTCTGGAATACTCCGGTACAACAATCAAGACATGTCTCCCACTCTCCATTTAGTTGGCCACTTTCAGGTTTATAATATAATGGGCCTCTATTATGGCCCAATAGGCTCGAAACATTATTGGACTAATGGAGTTTCTCGTCATCCGCAAACAAGTTTTTGTGGAGGTACTCAGAATCACGAAATATAATGATATAGTGAGATCTATATTCATTAGTTAAAGCCTTTTTTTTTAATTTCATTATATTTCTGGTTTTTCATCCTAATGAATATAGATCTCACTTGTTTTTCTTCATACATAATCATTTTGGGGTGGCACGACCAATCATTGCTTGAGTTTATATTAATCCAAATTTTAGGAAGATAATGCGTAATTAATTGAATTTTTCAACCAAAAAGATGGACAAAAAGATTATCTCCTTATCGAAAGGAGGAAAAGAAGTGATGATTAAATCGGTAGCTGCAGCATTACCAACGTATGTAATGTCGTGCTTCAGACTACCGAAAACAATCACTTCAAAACTCACTAGTGCGGTTGCTAACTTTTGGTGGAGTTCGAATGGGGATTCTAGAGGTATGCACTGGATGGCCTGGAATAAATTATGTAACAGTAAATCGGACGGGGGATTAGGATTTCGGAATGTAGATGATTTTAATTCAGCCTTATTAGCAAAACAATTATGGCGGTTGATTACGGTTCCTGATTCTCTTTTCGCAAAGGTTTTCAAAGGGAGGTATTTTCGGAAAACAAACCCTTTGGAAAATATAAAATCATACTCCCCATCTTATGGGTGGCGGAGTATATGTTCAGCTAGATCTCTGGTTAATAAAGGACTTATTAAAAGAATTGGATCTGGGGCTTCTATCTCAGTTTGGGAGGATCCCTGGATTCCAGCTTAATCCCCGAGACCAGCAAAAAGCAATGGGTCATTTATTGATCCATCCTTAAAAGTTATCAATCTTATAGATAGTCGGTCAAATTTTTGGAATATTGATCTCTTACAGGCGATCTTTGATCCAGAAGATGTCGCGCTAATAAGTGCCATACCAGTGGGTGCGCCAACTAAGGAGGATACTCTAGGTTGGCATTTTACAAAAACAGGAAAATATTCTGTTAAATCGGGATATCATACTTCACGGATAGAACAGTCGGAAACTAATATCTCTCAAGTGGGCCCAAGCATAACACCGCTAAAAGCACATTCTTGGAAAGTGCAGTGCTCACCTAAGATAAGACATTTTTTGTGGCAAATTTTGACGGGCTGTGTACCGGTTACGGAGAATCTGCGGAAAAGAGGACTTGATTGTGATTTAGGATGTGCCAGATGCGGCGCATCTTGGCCCTGTGGAAGTGGTAAATCGATATCGAGTGCGGGATGCCTCACTTGATTCGACCTATTCGGGATACCGTTGTTTTGTAGACGGATCATGGAAAGAAAGCGACAAATTCTCCGGGACAGGATGGTTTTGTACATCATCAACTGGAGAACCGCCAACAATGGGAGCAGCGAACCTCCGTAGAAGTCTATCTCCATTACATGCAAAAGTCGAGGCCCTTCTCTGGGCAATGAAGTGTATGATTGGTGCAGATAACCAAGAGGTAACGTTCTTTACAGACTGTTCTAACCTGGTGAAGATGGTGTCTTCCCCAACCGAATGGCCGGCATTTTCAGTGTATTTGGAGGAATTTCAGAGCGACAAGGAAGAATTTTCAAGTTTTTCTTTATCCTTAATTTCTCGTAGTGCTAACACAAAAGCGGATAATCTTGCACGACAAGTTCGTACAGAACCGCTTCATATCACGTATGTAAACAACATTCCTCAAGAATGACTCTTTTGAGCTCTAATTAATTTCGGATGACAAAAAAAAAAAATGATTTTAATTATGATGCTTCTAGATGATATCAAGTATCAACTGGATAATAAACTATTTATCATTTTCTTACAACTAGCAACCAATTAAAAGCCACTCAACACTAAGGTTTCTTCTACTTTTTTGAATTTTCCTTATTCCAATGATTATTGATTTATTATGATTAGATCAGATGATTTTCTCTATGGATTAAAAAAAATAAAAATAACATGTTGGGACTGGGTGGGAGTGGAACGAGAGGCCACGGCACACAAACTCACAAAAAGTGTCATTATCCGGTGCACCGTCCCACATGCGATTGCTGGTCACCACGCGTCAATCAGAAGAATGGCATGATCCTTTTTTTAGATTGTGCTCGCTAATATGGACCCTACAAGGACCGAACTAATCAATGTGGTTCTCACATGGCTTTTTGTCAATTTGAACTTTTCTAACCAAAAAAAAAATTACTGTGAAACCTCCACATTCAGTTGTGTGATATGACCGGAGTCTGGCCCTCAAACCGAAAGTCCTCTCCTCTGAATCCTTTGTGGCTCTGTCTGTCCCGCGTGCCATATGGTCTAACACGTGGGAATATCAGATTAAATGTATGGTCTCTCGCAAAATTGAATGTCATTTGTGGTTATTAGTTCGAAAATAATTGAGACAATGCAAAGATTTTGTTTTGCATCATCGTTATTCGTTACCGACCACATCAAACAGGTCATCGCTCTGGGTCCACTCACCGCTTAACACTTGTGGGAAAAGGCTTCTTCTAGTACAGTTTCGTCACGGCGTCTTATTATTGCAAAGCTGTGACGTTACGGGTTTCGATTCGGGTTACTATTTTAATGGAAATCTTTTGATACTAGCTAGAGCCTAGAGTATGTTACCCTAGGGTTGGATGGTAATACCAAATCTACCTAAATTTTTGTTATTTTCGGTTTTCATGACATATATAGACTCTGTAATTTAAAATCTCAAAATTTAGTTTCACTTATGGTTTTTTATAGTTTCGAGGTAGGTATACAAGCATGGAACGTGTATGGCTACGATCTTCGGAACTTTATTGAGTTTGCATGCTCAAAGGCCAACGCCATTTCTTTTCCAAGCTGCTTTTTTTCCCATTACGGAAACAATATAATCTTTTTGCGTTACTGAACTTACCAAAGTTTATTGAACTACATTGTTATCTACAAAACTTCTAATTAACTCGAAGATGGAATTTCATTTTCTTAACCAAAAGATAGTTATAATACATCCTTTGCACGAAATTGTCCTTACAGATTCGTTGTTGACTTTTGCTTTTGTCACTGTAGCCATTGTGGACTTTTATTTATGTGCTATTTATACAAATTACCTAACTTTTCATTTTATAATATTGGGTAAACGACTTGTGTCCCCCTAGGAAGTTTCATATAGTATCACAACTACACAGAATTCGGACCTCGACCGCAGTCCACACAGATCAGAAGTTAAACTCCAGTTTCCCCCCAAATCAAAAGTTCGAGACCTTGGTCCCCAAAATTTTGAATTTTGTGGTTTATCTGTGGTTTACTGTACCGAACCGATGCCAAAC